TATGTGCTTTACCGTATCTACTGTTGCCTGTGACGTACTTTTGCCGCAATTCGGATGGATTATCATCGAGGAAATACAAGCAATTGTCAGTTATTTTCTAAAAATATAAACTAGTATTATACTAACTCTAAAAAGAGGAAGAGAAAATTCAAAGGATTGGAGTTAGCAAAAAAAAAACGCATATTATTTATAGCGAGAACCTTATTAGATAATACCACAAAATGTGAACAAGTATACATAGGACCTATTCTAATATTGTTTAACGAGAGATCATAGAGAGAGAGAGAGAAAGAGAAAAAGGAGATTGGTCTTCGTGTCGGACTTGTATTTTTCGATGGAAGTTACGATGAAGCAGAGCAATATGTTTTCAGTGTGTTTTATCTAATTAGTGCGACGAAAGATGTGTAAGCGGTAGCCTAATTTGTTTAAACGTTCTTAGGAGAATCACATTCTGATCGCTGAATATCTGATTCGTTGTTGATTCAGTTTTCTTGTATTATAAAGAGAGAAACTGTTTTAGCAAATTCCTTGTTTACAAATATCGCAATTTTTTTTATGTTGGCGCTCAATGTAAAAAAATTAGTTCACACGTGCTCTAGCTAATCGCGTAAGAAATGCATATCTCTATAGTTTGAGGCCGCTAATTTAGAGCTTTACGACGAAGAAATGAGTACTTTCTCTCATTTGTATCATTAAAGAGAAGAAACGAGAGCAAGAAAGACACGTTAAGACATTGAACTTACTACCATGGTTTACTACTTAGTCGATAAAAACATGTCTCTGAGGACGCTTGTCCACATCATGTGTGTTCTTCGCTGTAAGTCCAACATAATTGTCTTTAACGTGTCTTGTAAAAAAGAGAGAGAACGAAAGATCAATGAAACTGTAAAACAAGGTTCAGACGTAGGAGCATTTTGTGACACTATAAAGTGCCTGTCTTGTCGTTTAGAGACGTGAAGAAAAAAAAAAAGAAAACTCGCGCGCTAGATTTCTTATGAACCACTGTATAACGACATGTAATATTTCGTTTTAGCACCGTGAGGAGGGAGAAACAAATAATCGAACATGCATATGTATAATGGAGTTTAATTGACGTTTTGTGTAGAACGAATTGTGGTTCCGTATGTATGGTTGTATTTGCATCGAACATTATCGAGATACGTCTTTCCTAATGTTGTATTATACGTCATCCGAATGTCATCGTGTCATCGAAAAATGAATATATTGGAAGTATTTAGTTATTTTATGCGATATCATGACTTGTAGATTTTCGTATCGTTTTGTTTTTTTTTTTTTATTTTCATTTTCATACGTCGTATCCATTATTTGACTGGGACATCCACTGTACAAAACTAAAAATGTAGAAAAAATGAAGAATGATGAAGTCTTCAATTAACATAAAAGAAAGAATGAGCTAATACACACAAGCCAATTTGCAGAATATATAAATTCCTTACTGTTCTGCGTATAAAATATAATATATAAATCCTTTAGTATATCAATAGTATATATCAAGAAATAATACGATAATTTTAGTTTGTCATCTTTGACCATAAAATGATTATAAACAGTTCGATCATTTAGTTATATTTTGGAATTTATAACCTTAAAATTTTTAATTCTTGTTTTTATCATTACTGACACACTTATTCAAATTATATCAGAAAAGTTTGAGTGTGGACCTAAAATTTGTGAAAGTTTTTGAGATATTGCACAGAAACAATTACTATAAACGCAAAAGGGATTTACAAAATTTAATTAGCAATTTTGTTTGCTATTTCTAGCAAACAAATTTGTATAATTGGCAAACATTTTGCACTTGTTGCAAGTAATTTTTGTAGTAAGTAGAAAAAAGAATAAACATTTGTTACATCTATAAATAATGCAATCTCCAAATGTACAAATAAATTTATCGTTATGGCATAGAATTAGCGTTCATAGCAAATTTTTTCCGTGCGCTTTTTATAATTATTTTTGACAAATATTTGTATTCACTTAAAACATTTTAGATATTTTCGTTGATTTCATTTATTATTACTGGTCAGGATCAACTCTTACACGGAGATGAGACTATTTAAGTGAAGAAGAGAAAGGAAAATTTGTTGTGTATGTTCCAAGACCTGCAAATTGACTGCTATTAGTTTTCTATCTTAAATGTAAGAATTTAGAACTATGTGAGAGAGCTTCACGAATGATAGGAAAAGGATAAGTTGAGAAAAGAAACATTTAGAATATTTGTATTCTATTCCAGGTTGATAATTCTGATTTATTTTTTTTCTCTTTCGAAGAGTTTACGAGAGGGACGCACTTCCAGTTTTCGCACAGTGGATGGATAGATCAATCGACGAGAATTTTTGTTATACATATATGTATAGGACTCTCATATATAAATTAATATTAACTCAAACTTTGTGAGAATATAAATATGATAGTTATAAATCGAGAAATTAACGATACACTTATATTGCGTACGAAACAAGAAGAAGAAAAGAAGAAGAAACCCGTATATTATTTGATAACGAGAAATCGTATGATAAGGCATATTCAATATTCGACGAGTTTTTATTATTTTCTTCTCCTTTTTTTTGTAGTATCATCTTTTGAAAGAAGCCTGATTAGATTTTTATAATGTTTGACTGTACTTGATCGAGTTAGGGAGAAGAAGCAGCTCAGTTTGTATCAACGCTTATGACCGAATTTAGGGCTGGTATACCGAAGAAATTTAATGCGACGCATCTTTAAAAAAAATATCAGGGACTATGAAATAGAGTATATAAATTATAAATTCATGCTCCTTCATTATTCCACGAATGTGTATTGTAAACGTTGCTCTGCATTAATCTCTGCTTCGGCATCCGTCTCTAAAATCGGTCGAATTATGACAAGTTAAGGGACAAAATAACTTGCGCACGTCTTAGTATTAACGAAAGAAAAGTATGAGTGTGTAAAAAAAGATAATGGTGCGATCCAGGGTTAAAGTTGACGATCAGAAACACTAAAAGACGCGGAGTCCTGCATTTTCACAAATATCTCGGAGCGATAGAGACTCGGCAAACATCAATTAAAAATAACACACAGATAACATCAGTGTTATAATTTCAAACTCAACAATATAAATATAAATATAATATATATA